ATAGTACTCGAAGATACAAAGTAGAACAGAATCTTTTGTAAGAATATATTGCAAAAACATTCATTAATACATGCTAAAACAAATATTTTCTCTCTCAGTGTGCCATTTTCTTTCATGGCTCCAGTATACATATCTGCCACACACACACACACACAAACACACACACACACACAAACACACACTCTCTCCAGCCTCTCTGGTTCTGTTTCTTTCAGCAGAGCCAGTTAATTACAGCCTACTGCTGCAGGCAGCTTCAAACCACCACTAATTTAGAGTTCCATTACAGTAAACTCTTCCACATGTGCATCCAAGCCAGGGTGGCCACGTCTAAGGAAGGAGCTCTGCAGATAGGCACACGCCTATAGCCAGCCACAACAAGGCCTTGCCATCTCTCCCCCTCCTCCTTCGCTCTCTCTTTTTCTCCAGGTCTGGTTTTCATCTGCGACTGTGTGCCCTCGAACCCATCCCTGCCCACATTGCCCCCCTTCCCCAAACCCCCTCCCGCTCCCGCTGCAGCTCCGTCCGTGACCCCTCAGAACTGTTCCATATGTAACAGATATCATTTAGAGCTCACCATTCAAAAGCAAACATTGCCGAAGTCAACGTGTTTACTCTGGAGACCGAGGCAGCACAGGATAAATTCTTCGCAATTGAAGCGGAGTGGAGCTGCTCGCTCACAGGCCAAATGTGCTATTTGCTGAACTGAAAGCGTTACTGTGAACTAAAATGATCACATAATTATGTTTTCCACACATATCAGTCAAGGTTGGGAAATATTTTTTATATATCCACCGGGAATGTTACCAGACTTCTATTTCAATTGAAATGCTTAGTTTCTACTGTCATATGCAAGGCATGAAATATAATCAGATATCATTATATGCTAAAAGAGTCAATTAAGATAAGATAAAATTAGATAAGATAAATCTTAAAAATATTGTGTATTTTCTTAGATTAATTCTCAGATTTATCTAGTCATTTTTTTATGTTTTATTTATATGTATTTAATGCATTCATTTTTAAATGTATTTTTAATGTAATTATTTATTCAAATACATTTATTTATTTATTTTTATTTATTTCAAGATAAGACAAGCATTGTATATTTTCTCAAATTAAGATTATTTATTATTTAAATTAATGAATATACATTTGAATATTTACTTGTTTTTTAAATGTACTTATTGTATTTATTTTTATTAATTAAATTTTTTTTATGTATTTTTCAAATGTATGTATGTATTTATTGATTTTTTTGTTTGTTTAAATATTTTATTTACTTATTTACTTTTAATCTGCATTAATAAAATTGATAGATTAGATTACTGATCACAGGATGAAAAATGAGAAACTGGACTAAATACGGCATACAATAAAAAATGGTCTAAACAAATGGTCTGCTGAAAATACAATTTCACTCTGGCTCTCACTATAATATTTTAGGGCTTGCATTAACTCTAAGTCTTCTGAACTTTTGACTCTTACCAGTAGTAAGAACATCAAGAAACAAAATAAGGAGAACGTTGGGAATAAAATAGAAAGCCGAAGAAAGGAAACAAGGCGAACTGCGGGAGAGAGAGAGATAGCGGAGAAAAACATCAAAATCACACCCAAAAAAAGCTTTTACAGGGAGAGAAAAAGAAAGCAGAAAAATAGTGGAAAAGGAGGAGGAAAAAAAGGGATCCGGGGAAAATCCAAATCTCATGCAGCCATTTGAAAAGAGGGGAACTGATTGAAAAGGGATCTGTGTGTTCCTAGAATTTTCCCAAACACAATAATGAAATAATAAAACACTTGGCGCCTGCGTATTTTCATGAGTCACATCAGCAAAGAGTTTTAAAGATTATGTTCTGCTTTTATGGCAGGCGGGCTGTGCAGAAAGTGAGCTCATTCTAGGGCCCTCGCCCTCTCTCTCTCTGGCATGGGCCCCTGGGGAGCACATACACACACATGTATAAGTACATACACACATGTTCTCTCATTACTGCTATTCTCTGGCTGACCCTTACACACACGCTCATTCAAACTCCTCTAGCCCACTCTGGGCCGAGAGGGGGGCAACGGCGGGCACCAATCGCAGACCCGACGTTTGCAGGGATTATAAGAACAGGCTGGGACTTTCCAAAAGCCTGATTTCACCACCGTTTCTACATTGCTCCTCACAGAACAAACACATCATTAGCAGAGCATGCTGAGGCCTATTAGCCAAAGAGAAAGAAAGAAAGATTGAGCGAGACGAAGCGAGAGAGAAAATGCTCCTGGCATGGTTGGATGATGTGCTGTGTATCTCTGACAGAATCAGCTCTATGTGATTCATGGCTCTTCGGGGCTGGGCCGAGCCGGGCTGGTGACGTCTACGCTCCTCTGAAGTACTGCAGTTTGCCACTGTCAAAAGGGTAAGCAGGTTGTGTTTAGAGGAAGAAAAAGTATCCATTTCAACTCAGGAGAGAATTGCCTCTCGCCGCAGAAGGTATCGCGTTCTTGCTTGGAAAACAACAATTTGAGACCTACACTATAATGGTCAGAAGATTGGAATAATATGATTTTTTTTTTTTTGAAAGAAGTCTCTAATGCTCACCAAAGCTGCATTTATGTGATCAAAAACACAATAAAAACAGTAACATTGTGAAATATTATTACAATTTAAAATAACTATTTTACATTTGAATTTATGTTAAAATGTCATTTATTCCTGTGATGCAAAACTGCGTTTTCAGCATCATTACTCCAGCCTTTAGTGTCACATGGTCCTTCAGAAATCATTCTAATATGCTGATTTGCTGCTCGACAAAAATATTAAGCAGCACACCTGTTT